CTGTGAGCCTTCATCAAAGCTGTGAATTTAGGTCATGTTTTGCTGTGGGTTTTTTCCACCTTTTTAATGTGTGTTATTTCTGAGCAGAGATCGTCTGGTCTTGGCAGTTTGATGAGGACGGAAGATGAGTGATTTACTTTATGAAGATAGTGTGCTGTAAACACCTGCTGGGAAGCTTTAACTTAAGTTCAGTTTTCATGACCTAAATAATGGTTTCCGGTCCCTGGCATTACAAAGCAATAAACTCCAGGGCCCCAGGGTGAAGCTGAAGTCTTTTTAAAATGCATAATTTAACATGATTTTAAAAAAAACAAAGTGTTGAAGACAATTCAATCAGCTTCAAAGGTCTAGATATTAGGCATAATAGTTGGGGTCTTAAACCTTTTGGCCACTAGGATTCCCCAGCATGTTTCTGTTGTTGTCTGTGAAACAACTGTTCACTTTTCTGATCTATTCACCAGCACAAAGCAAGATGACAGTCACCCTAGAAGCTGTGTGGTGCAGCATGTGGGCACAGCGGGGCTTTAAGCTCAAGGTTAAAGTCAGCATGACGATGCTAACATGCTGAAGTTCTGTGGGTAATATGGTTTTAATGTTCTTATTTTAGAAGGGATGCATCGGTCAGACATTGGCATCAGCAGATGTTAACCCACCATCGGCACATTAGCAAATAAGGTGTCATGTCAAAAAAATTGAATTTCTCTATTTCACCAAAAAACTAAAATCATCATGGTTGAGCTGTATTAAAGAAAGTTCAGGATGCAGTGTCTGGGAATCATGAATGTCAGGACAAAATGGTATGAAAATCCAGGAACAGTTGTTGAGGTTCAGGACCAAAGTGGTCAACCTTCGACAAACAGACTGACATTTCTATCCATAAAGCATGCTACTAAAAATGATGAGGATTCCCTGTTGCCTTATTAAATGGCATACTGTGTATCTGAAACATCCGTGCTTCTACAGCCCATCAGTTTAGGTTGTGTTAGGCCCCCGGCTTACAAGTTGTCAAATCCCAACTGTGAATAATGGCTATTTGATTTAGGAACTGGCAAAAAATAAATCTCATTATGGATATAGGACCTCCTGCTGGGATGATGCTGTTTGAGTGACAGAACTGCTGCAGGTGGTGGTGATGAATAAAACAACATTCTGCACAGTGATTGCCGCGCTGATGAAAATCAATGCGTAACAGACCGCTGTGATTTAATGAATGCAGCAGAAACAAATAGTTGGAACAACGCAGTCAGATGGACTCATTAACGACAAGAGTCCTCTTCTAAAAAAAGAAGAAGGTCCCAACCCTTTTGTGGGACAAAAACGTTCTTAATTGCTAGTGTGCTGTGTAAATAAATCATTTAAAATTAGAACAAAAGACCAGAATTCAACAAAGTTTCCGAAGTATACTGCATTTTAATTCTGACATTTAGCAGCCTAAAGAGACTAGATAAAAGATAACAAGACTTGAATCCTTTGAGATAGTGAAGTTTGTAAGGGAACATGTTTACAGGGATTATTTCCTGGAGGTTACTTCAAGAGTGCCCGCCCGGTAATCGATAAGCAGAACAGTAATGCAGTGAATCGGTCTCAGTGCTCACTGTGATGGACCATGTTGCTCTGTGGAAGTTATTTGCCACTCATGAGAACCGCCTCAGCAGAAACCCTGAACTCTGCAGAGAACTGCTACTAAAGTTGTTTTCAATGATCCTCTTAAAGGTTGTCATATTTTCCCTCAAGTATAAATTAGCAATCACTTATGAAATTACGTTTCCCATCCCAACCCTTTTATTTTCAATCTAATGTATGTCTTTGACTTTTTAGAGTCGTATTTTCTGCCATAAATGACTTTACAGGACCTGTAGGTTATTCAATCTGTTTTGTTCCTCTTTCTTTGTCTCTCTGTTTTAAAAACACAATGAGATTATATCCAAGATTATCTTGCTTTTTTGTACAGCCCTCGTGAGCTGCTTTTTGGTTGAGGCACCATGTTGAGTGGCTGCAGAGCCTGCTGGTGAGAGAAAAAGCTCTGATTGGCGGTTCAGCTTAAACTCATTTGTGCTGTTGTCACTGGTAACGTATGTACTTTACTCCAGCCCTTACTGCTCATTGTGTGCTACTGCTATTTCCTGAAATAGCGCACGTAGCGTGGACACACAACTCCAGCCCTTCTGCCATCTTGCAGAGGATACATTTGTATATTTAAATAATATCAAATCAAAGTACTGGTGTGTTAATGACAAAGTCAGTACTTCAGCATTCAAAATATTTGAATTGGAAAGTCTTATGTTGCATCTTTTCTCCTGTATAAAAATGCGCTTGTTTAATCATACTAGACTTGTGTTTTACATTCTTTAAAACATCTTTCTAGACTGGGAAAATTAACCGAGGTTGTCTTTTTATTTATAGAGAGTGAGAGAATGTCAAAAGCGATTAGACAACGAGATCAAATACAAAGATCAAAAAGGGAAAACAAAACAGAAGGAAAACACACAACAGTTACACATGAATAAAGTGTGGTTGATAAGATAAAATGAACCTTTATTAATCCCCGAGGGGAAATTCAGTTGTACATACATTGGCGATGATGCGTCTAAGTTGTGCATAGGTTAACGATGTATCACTCTTCAAAGTGAGCTGATGAATGAACTGAGAAGTGGTGGTGTGTCCTTATACAGCCGTCTGCACCCCTCCTTAGGGTCGCTAGTTACACATTAACAGTTGGCTTAGTCTTTGCCTAGAATCAAGTTTACCTTCATTCCTGAACTCTGACTGTTCCCAGGTAAATTCTGGATTATCTCCCCCCCCCCCCCCCCCCCCCACTTAAACAAACCTGTCTGACCTTGTGTTGCTGTTACATACAATACAAATATCAGCACTGCAAGGCAGAGGTCCTGTTCATGTAGGGAACACATTGAAGGTAGAAAACCTTCCCCACAACTTGACTGTGTTGATGTACTGCCCTTATAACTCTAACTATGTCTCTTTTGATGGATTCAGCATAGAACATGGTGTAAACAACTCACAGTCTCACACTGTGACAATATTTACTCTTAGAGACCCACATAGACCCATTTTTTGTAATCTTTTTTGGCGAACAGGGGGAACTGAAAAAAAAAAGGACAATCTGTGATGAAATAAAACCCTTGGTCTGCTACAGTAAAGCACATTGTCTGAGATGAAACCAGTCACACTGTGGTTAAATCACTTATTATTGTATCCATTTGTGATACATTTGGTCTGATGGCAAATGTTGTATTTCTGGAGACTGTCTTCAGGCCCCTCCGTAGGAGTGACCTGCAACGTCTCGAATTGTCTTTAGTTGCACTCCAAGTACTTTCCCTGTCCAGACTAATGCAGCTTGACTGACTGTGATTTCCACATAATAACCTCCACACAGTGATTTAACGCAGTTAACAGCCACTGCCGTGTTTATCTGCTGGTGTGACCCTTTCGCCTGGAGCCGGTTCAGTCTGTGTTATTTGTGTGCATCCTCTGTCACATCCCCTGAAATCAAACACAGGGATAAAGCTGCAGGATTATGGGTTTTCTTCAAGCGCAATGATATCGATCAAAATTGAGATTAGAATTATTTATCAAGATTAGTCATATTCTAGAGAGAAATATTTGTATCGCATGTAATCATTTAAATAAACAGAGCCCTGCTTTTACTTACATCTTGCTGCATTCCTGCTAAGGTCACTTTTTTGGCATCACAATTAGACTGCATTCCCTAAAGGCATTTTATAATTGAAATTCTACCAAAACTTTGCTGGATGCTGTACAGAGTCGCTGTATGGGGGTCTGAGTTGACATAAGACAAAGACTGGGATTCAGTAAAGTAGCACTAGCAATATCACTTTTCATGTCTTTCATGCATCAACATGCTGCAATTTGTAGTGTTTTTTAGAGGGTTAAAGAGGCCTTATTAAGCTTTCCTCTAGTGTGTTCTATAGATTGCTGTGCTAGTAAATGGTCTGCCAAACCTAAAATCCCAACGTTCTTTCACAGGCACTCCCCACCTGCCTTAAACATCTCAATTGGACTGCTTTGTTTACTTCCATAGCATAATGACATCACTATGTATCAGAGCAGACTGGGCTCTGGTTTCAGACAGAGGGTGAAAAGAGGTGCTGCAGCACAGGCAGTATGCACATTGAAGCATGGAGACATGTCACAGAATACAAATATGATCCTGAAGATGAGCGCAATAGGGCCTCTTTAAACAACTAGAGTTAGTTAGTAACTCATACACTTTTGGAATATGATTTGTTCTTATTTCAATAGTATCGTACCTGTATTTAGCTACATTCAGAAGAATGAATGATGCTCCAATATAAAGGACTAGCTCTTCACTTTCAAACATTAGATTGTTTGTTTTGTTGGTTTGCTCTCTGTTGTAAATGGATCTTGTGCTCCTCGCTGCAGCACAACAGTTGTTCCCAGGCTGCCACTGCACAGGCCAAACATCTCAATGCCCGTGGTTGCTGACTATTAGTTTAGAAAGCACTAGTTTGCAGCCTAGTTTTCATACATTTCAATTGTTAATATGTCTTATATATTCATTTAATTTATCAGCAAAATTGTTTGACTAAACAATTAACATGGTAAAAAAGCGAGTGGTTGGTTGTTGGATTCATGTTGATTGCAATTGTATGAAGTTTGTAGTTTTATGGTTGTTAAGCTGTGTGTAAATCGGCGTTATACTTGTCCATTAAGTAATTATTTATAAGGAAAATAAACCAATATATTACTGAAACATTGATTTATTTTTAAGAAGACAAACTTTCAGGGATAATCCAAATTCTCAAAGTAACGTGGAGCCAATGATGTGTACGCTTTGATGTGCTAATCTGGGGTTTGCATTTAACAAGGAGGTGAAAAGCAGCGTCACAAGACCTTCAAGAGCCATTTCTTTTTTCTGTCACCGTGGTTACTCCATGCATTTCCCCTCCTTGCTGTTCCCATGGTGACAAAGTGTTTTCTCCTCTCTCTTCCTCTTTTAGTGTCATCCAGGCTCCGTTACCACTACCTGTAGACAAGGTAAGAAACCAAAAGTGTTGTCGCTGTTTGTCTGTGTGGAGTGTGTGTGCCTGCTGCTCAGAGGAGTGTGTGTGTGTTGGGTAGTTCCATTCACATGAGTAGCCTTTGCGCACACACTGAGTGGACTAGTCAGCTGATAGAGGAATGCAGGGATTGCTGCCAGTCTCTCTGCTACCACACACAGTTTTTTTCCCACCGACCGCTCTTTGAGAGATTTCTCTTTAAAGCTATTTCAAGTCCAATTGAAATGAAATGGTATTTTTTGTTTGCTACATTATATTGATGTACCCTGTAAATCACTTGTCCTGTGTTCTCCTTTTGAGGGTTTTGCAGTGGTGCCTGCTACTTTGGCATTCATTTAATGAAATCATTTTCAACTGTCTGTCCAGGGACATGGATCATTCATATTACATACACATATTCAGCATAAATAAGCAGTCAAATCATTGTTCACTCAGCCGAACGCTATACGGTACAACACATGAGCCACAGTCAGGCTCTGAACAATAATCCACATGGGCAACTGTGAGGTAGTGCAGCTGTCTTCCAATCGGAAGGTTGTGGGTTCGATTCCAGCCACTGCAGTCAACATGTAAATGTATCCTATATACATACTGTATGTGCTGTTTAAGTAAAAGCACTCTGTAACCTTTTTCTTAACTTAGGACATTTAGCCATTATGAATCCAAAGTGTGGTGCTTTCCACAAAAAACAAATTATATTCAAAAAGTATTGCATGGTAGAGAAAAACTAATGTTTGTTTTCAACAGCTGACTTTACATTTATCAAACTTCTTTCTGCTGATTGATATGACCGCACAGAGTCCCTTGATCCTCCTTAGCAACAGTCTGTTCTCTAGCAGTCTCAAATGTACAACCTCTGAAATGTCATAATTGACCAATCAGAATCTAAGCTGTGTAATAAAGCTAGATAAATCACGTAATTCACAATCACAAAATGCAGGCCATTTACATTATTTGTACTGCTAAATTCTCCTCTCCACCTGACTCACTCATTAATACAAACTCACATCTTGTCCTGCACTTTAGCTAGTTGAGAAAGCATCCAAACAAACATTCACTCTCGAAAGAAAATACAGGTTATAAGATGAAGTTAATAACCTTCTCAGCAGCTGCAACAAAGCAAGATCAAATCAAGATAGTTTTTTAATGTGAACATTTCTTTTTACAACTGCATGGCACATTATTCACATCGTGTGTGTGTGTGTGTGTGTGTGTGTGTGTGTGTGTGTGTGTGTGTGTGTGTGTGTGTGTGTGTGTGTGTGTGTGTGTGTGTGTGTGTGTGTGGTGTGTGTGTGTGTGTGTGTGTGTGTGGGTGTGTGTGTGTGTGTGTGTGTGTGTGTGTGTGTGTGTGTGTGTGTGTGTGTGTGTGTGTGTGTGTGTGTGTGTGTGTGTGTGTGTGTGTGGTGTGTGTGTGTGTGTGTGTGTGTGTGTGTGTGTGTGTGTGTGTGTGTGTGTGTGTGTGTGTGTGTGTGTGTGTGTGTGTGTGTGTGTGTGTGTGTGTGTGTGTGTGTGTGTGTGTGTGTGTGTGTGTGTGTGTGTGTGTGTGTAAAGCAGCATGCCCCAGGTCTGAAAAGACAGCACCATACAATTAATCACACACTTAGAAACACGCACCTGTACACACAGATTTTTTTATTATTTACCATTTAAGTCATGTGAGGAACGTTTCAACATTTCGGGAAATACATTGATGTTCAGATGGATATCAATCTTATGTATGTGTGTTAGATACAGTAGCTGGAGTCAGGACGTGGTTAGCTTAGCATAAGCACTGGAAACATAGGGGACTGTTATCCTGGCCCTGTCATAAGTAAAAACAAAACAACTTTTGATACCTCACACTTTGCCTACATATCCGGAAATGCTTGTGTAGGATGTTGTGTGCCGTAACAAATTCTGAATTATTCCTTTAATTAATATTCCAGTAGTTTTATCCTTATCCCTACTGTATTTGTGGCACTGTAGGGTAGCTATAAGGCCTCTTACTTTATTGCAGAAGATTTAGCCCTTATCCCTAATGCTGATGAATTATGATCAGAATTCTTAAACACTGAGTGTGTGTGAGATTTGTATACACTCACTTATTTGCTCCCTGGTTTGTGTTACACAGCGGTGCTTTTGACCTCTGTGGGTTTCCACCTTCAATTCAAACAATGAACAGCTGAACTCCAGACAGCTGTCAATATATGACCATGGTGTGTGTGTGTGTGTGTGTTTTCCAGGTTGCAGCCAACACTCCCAGTATGTATTCTCAGGAACTGTTCCAGCTCTCCCAGTATCTACAGGTAACCCACTGACACCTACTGGTCTTCCTGTGGAGCTACACTAGAGATAATGAAGCACTAAATGAGTAACTCGTAACATGTATTTAGTGTGAGAGAACCAATCATGCAATGTAGAATATGTTCAGTGTGGACAGGAGAGGAACTCTTGATTAGGAATGACCTAATTATATAAAACAGATCAAAAACTTTAGATGTAATAGCAAGTCAGGTACATTGCAGGAAATGGAAAATAAATATCAGTGAGGCACAGTGGAGCTCTCAAGCTGAGGAGTGGCCAGGAATATTTACTAAGACTAATGTTACCTCATCTTTTTGAGGTCTTTGATCAAAAACATGATCCCAGCAATGTAGAGACTTTGTCATGAAAGAAGCATGATCTCTTTTTATTGAGAAGTTAGTCAACTAATTGCATCCCAACTGCTGCCCATATCATGTTTTATTAATAATGCGAAGAGCATCAATTACATAAAATCTGATATTTTCCATTCCAAAGAGTAGTCTCCCCTTTAGTCGCAATTGTTTCTTCATATGCACTAGTACAATATTATTTTTTGATTTGATTTAAATGGACCTCTGATTATTTATTTATTTCACTTTTTCTGTCTGTACTATTACAATTTCCCCTCAAGGGATTCATATTGTTTTGTTTTCTTCTTTGATCTAAAAACTGAATACAACTTTAAGCCCTGTTTTCTTCTCTGTAAATTACCCTGTTGATTTACTTCCCTTTCAGTCATTGAATTGATCTTATTCAAGTCATTGTTTTCCCACCTCTCTTTCTATTAGGAGGCCTTACACAGAGAACAGATGTTGGAGCAGAAGCTCGCCACTCTGCAGCGTCTGTTAGCCAACACACAGGAGGCCTCGGAGAGCAGCTGGCAGGTAGGAAACACCTTTTATAGTTTGATCCTTAACGTCATGATACATCCCAACAGCTGAACAGTAGTTTACACTATCATTTAAGATGATTTTGAAAATGCACACTGTCATTTACCTTTGCATGAAAGGTTTCTCCATCATTCCCTTTTATCTTAAATGATCTGAACAAATCAAATCTGTGTCCTCCCCAGGCTCTGATTGATGAAGACCGCCTGCTCTCCAGACTGGAGGTGATGGGCAGTCAGCTGCAGGCTTACTCTAAGGTAATAATGTGTCTCTGTAAGAGTATTTCATGATAACACATTCTCCTGCACTAAATGGATCCAAAGTCAAATGATCATCTATTTATTTATTTAAAAATCCTTCTGCTCTTCTGTCACAGTCCCAGCCGGAGGAAGGGATCCGTAAGGAGCTCCTGGCTCTCCAGGAGGACAAACACAACTACGAAACGACGGCCAAGGAGTCTCTGAGGAGAGTCCTGCAGGAGAAGATCGAGGTGGTCAGGAAGCTGTCAGAGGTGGAGGTAGGTCACACACCTACATACTGTATGCAATCTCTATGATGATCATTGGCATTTTTAGTCATTGGACTTTTTGTTGTTGCTGCTGTCCTGCAGCGCTCGCTCAGTAACACGGAGGACGAGTGCACCCACCTGAAGGAGATGTCCGAGCGGGGCCAGGAGGAGCTGAGGGAGCTCGCCAACAAGTACAACGCCGCCGTCAACGAGATCAAAGAGCTCACGGAAAAAATTAAGGTACCTGCAGAGGCTGGAATGTATTTATGTTGTTACTCTAAATTATATAAGATATATAGTCATCCACACCCCTGTCCAGTTGGTGGCGAGTGTGTGTATATTAAGTAGCTATTGTCTAGTCTTGTTTTTGACCTCGTTGATTACCTCGTTGTTTAACCGGCTTTAGCAATCGCAAAATGTCACGGAAGCTGATCGTCCGAAGCTTTTTTAATAAGCCAAGTAATTGTGATGGTGTGGATAAACGAGGTGAAAAGAGGGATTGATGCGCTGGAGGATGAAGGACAAGCCAGTAAGACTAAAACTGACAACGTTCAGCCAGCGGCAGAGGGGCAAGCAAGTGGCAAGGAGTTCAAGCGGGAGTACCGGGTTCAGTGGGAGCAAGAGTTTAAGTGGCTGAGGAGGGAAGATGGCAAAATGTTCTGCGACATCTGTAGAAAAGCTAAGATGAGTAACGGATTTGTCCGAGGGTGCACGACGATGCAGAAATCAGCGTTCAGGCTACAGCAGGTTAATTGAGTTGTTCTTGTAAATGTTTTGTTCATATTTTGATTGTAATTGTCTCATTTAAAACGATGGCATTGTTCATATTTGCCTGTTTAGGCACAATGGTCGCGGTGTTTTTAGCGGCCTCTGCCCCCCTCTGCTGTGCTGTTAGTGCAGGAAAAAATAAATCATTCATGTTCGTGTTGACATGAAAAGTGACCACACGGTCGGTGTCTCTGTTCATCTTTTTTTTCTCTCCATGCTCTTAAAAGTTCTGTATAAATCATAAAAAAAAATGAATGAATGAACATTTGCTGCTCAGTACCCAAACATAAATATTAAATATGTCTCATCTCATCATTAAAACATGAACAATAAAATGACGGGTAATAATGGATTATGACGGAAATGTTACGATCCTGTCCGTCAAAATGACAGACAACGAAAAAGTCTAACGCAACCACTGGTGCCACACCAATGTCATTTTTGGTGTTAATATTCAGAAATACACCATTTTTAAACATCCCTATGGGAAGAGCTACCAGAGTAAAAAGGATCACCGTACATGGATCTTTTCATTGCATACTGTAGTCCTTGCTTTGTCTTGTAAAACTCTCCTTTCTCCAGGAGGCGGAGGGCCGGCAGGAGGAGCTGACCCAGCGGGGGGCGACGGAGAAGAGGGAGTTGGAGCTGCGGATCGAGGAGATGGAGGAGAAGGAGCAGGTTCTCCAGGCTCGCATCGAAGCTCTGCAGGCCGACAACGACTTCACCAACGAGAGGCTGGCCGCCCTGCAGGGTACACACACACACACACGCACACACACACACACACACACACACACACACACACACACACACACACACACACACACACACACACACACACACACACACACACACTCTGCCAAGAAAGAAACCACAAATACGTACAGTGTGGCAAAAAAGTATTTGGTCAGCCACCAATTGTGCAAGTTCTCCAACTTAAAACGATGAGAGGCCTGTAATTTTCATCCTAGGTACACTTCAACTATGAGAGACAGAATGGGGGGAAAGAATCCAGGAAATCACATTGTAGGATTTTTAATGAATGAATTGGTAAATTCCTCGGTAAAATAAGTATTTGGTCACCTACAAACAAACAAGATTTCTGGCTCTCACAGACCTGTAACTTCTTCTTTAAGAGCCTCCTCTGTCCTCCACTCGTTAACTGTATTAATGACACCTGTTTGAACTCGTTATCAGTATAAAAGACACCTGTCCACAACCTCAAACAGTCACACTCCAAACTCCACTATGGCCAAGACCAAAGAGCTGTCAAAGGACACCAGAAACAAAGACCTGCACCAGGCTGGGAAGACTGAATCTGCAATAGGTAAGCAGCTTGGTGTGAAGAAATCAACTGTGGGAGCAATTATTAGAAAATGGAAGACCTACAAGACCACTGATAATCTCCCTCCATCTGGGGCTCCACGCAAGATCTCACCCCGTGGGGTCAAAAATGATCACAAGAACGGTGAGCAAAAATCCCAGAACCACACGGGGGGACCGTCAATGACCTGCAGAGAGCTGGGACCAAAGTAACAAAGGCTACCATCAGTAACACACTACGCCGCCAGGGACTCAAATCCTGCAGTGCCAGACGTGTCCCCCTGCTTAAGCCAGTACATGTCCAGGCCCGTCTGAAGTTTGCTAGAGAGCATTTAGATGATCCAGAAGAGGATTGGGAGAATGTCATATGGTCAGATGAAACCAAAATAGAACTTTTTGGTAAAAACTCAACTAGACGTATTTGGAGGAGAAAGAATGCTGAGTTGCATCCAAAGAACACCATACCTACTGTGAAACATGGGGGTGGAAACATCATGCTTTGGGGCTGTTTTTCTGCAAAGGGACCAGGACGACTGATCCGTGTAAAGGAAAGAATGAATGGGGCCATGTATCGTGAGATTTTGAGTGACAACCTCCTTCCATCAGCAAGGGCATTGAAGATGAAACGTGGCTGGGTCTTTCAGCATGACAATGATCCCAAACACACCGCCCGGGCAACGAAGGAGTGGCTTCGTAAGAAGCATTTCAAGGTCCTGGAGTGGCCTAGCCAGTCTCCAGATCTCAACCCCATAGAAAATCTTTGGAGGTAGTTGAAAGTCCGTGCTGCCCAGCGACAGCCCCAAAACATCACTGCTCTAGAGGAGATCTGCATGGAGGAATGGGCCAAAATACCAGCAACAGTGTGTGAAAACCTTGTGAAGACTTACAGAAAACGTTTGACCTCTGTAATTGCCAACAAAGGGTATATAACAAAGTATTGAGATTAACTTTTGTTATTGACCAAATACTTATGTTCCACCATCATTTGCAAATACATTCTTTAAAAATCAGACAATGTGATTTTCCTTATTTCCTTAATGAGAATGTTGTCTATTCTCATAATTTTGACTTAAAAACGTATGCATTTTTATTTGATTATTCTAAACATGCATTACACATCCAGGTCTTTTTCTTCTCCTAGCACACACAGTCTTGTCCTAACCTTTAACGTGCATCGTCCGAGCCAATCACTTTTAACTTTAACACAACAATTATAATAACAACCAGTCGCTGGGTCGGGTCTAGCTTTTGACCAATCACAGGGCTCAGCTGGGGCTTCCTGTCAGTCAACGTTTCTCTCTGCTGTTGTTGTTATTTACAGTGCGGTTAGAACAGCTACAAGAGAAAAGCATAAAAGAAAACAACAGCCTGGGTGAGTGCACATGTCTCTGCTCGGGGACTCTCGTCATCTCCGCCACCGTTTGTCTCACTAACTTCACTTCCTCTCCCTGCACTAATAACGCATGACAACTTCCTGCATGATGTCCACATCACTTCATTTTGCTCTCTGTTCATCCGTCTCTCTGTCTGTCACAGTGGATGTCTGGCTCTTCTCCTTCTGTTTTGGTCTGGTGGCTTGATGTCCGGCCCACAGGTTTCCTCCGACAGTTTAAGGAGACATGTGATGTCATTAGGGTCCCCATTAGCCCTCAGTATATTCAGTAAATTATATTAAGTCATTTGCAGAGAATAACTTATTTTTCCCTGAGTAAGATTTAGGAACCAGTAGACCTAGTATAAAATACAAGTAATAGTGCAGTGTTAAAAGAAGGATTGATTTATTAAAAGGCAGTTGCAAACAGAAAAGTCGTGATTTAAAAGAATTGAGAGTTGCAGGATTTGAACCCGCAGGAGCTGAGCCCCAGTACACGGGCCACCAGCTCTACCAAATGAGCCAGAGAAGTGTTTTTAAAGTATGTCACTAATCCATCATTTCAACTATGACCCCTGTGCCAAAGCCTTGTGACCTTTGAATGACAGGATGGGGATGCATGTTTTTAGGCAAATTGTCTCACGGTGGCTTTCTTGTTGGGGTTTCTGGATAATCTGGGTTGTTTCCACGGTTGCCAAACTGTCCACTACTTAGTTTTTTCTACCTCTGGGGAAAAAGAGCTTCTGGTCACTGATTGACTTCTTGGTGATTGAATGAAAACACTGAATAAGAATGCTGGAGGTGTCACTGCTCACTTTGCCACTTTGTAAAGGGACTTGCCGTCGTTTCCACTCGGTTGTGAACATGTGTTTTGGCTGGGACAAAATCCTATATATGTATATATATATATCTGATCTGGTCACATGACAGATGTGGACATTGTCTCCCACGGACCAGTAGAGGAGGCTGTGGAGGAGAAACAGAGCCTGCAGACCCCTGAGAGCCAGGAGGAAGACGAGGATGATGATGGGGACACTGACACCGATGATGGTGCATTTGGTGAAGATGAAGATGCTGATGGTAGTCAGTTTAATTATCATAATAATAGACATCTCAATTTACACAAGACACTGATCTTTGGCAGGTTTTGCTTCATAAAATGTACCTAAACAGTCCGATATAAAACAGCACAATTAGGAAGAAGTTTAAACTAGTTGGTAAAAAACATTGCTATTAAATGAATAGATCCAATAAAGACGAGAGTCCAAGATGTGGCTTTGTTTACCTTATTGATTGAGATGATTCCAGATGTATTTATTAATATAACTTGAGCTTATCCATTTATATATCTTTCTATTTTTAAAACAATGATGATAATTTATTATTTAATTTTTTTTATATTATATTTTTTAAGGTAAACCAAAACACCATGACCAACAAAAAAACCAAGATGCGATTTAAGCAAGGGAACCGTAGGTTTGGTCCTCCAGACATGTTCGATAAAGACATCAAACCTAGGGGTTACTTTAAAGATAATGTCAGGTGACTGCACCTACGTAACTCTGTGGGATTGTGGAGTCGATTTCACTTTTTTTTGACATCTTGAGTTTCCACTCAGACTCTGGAGTTGTGAGTTGGTCCTGTGATGCAGACACCTCTCCGGATTGATAATAAAGAGAGGACTGGATTGTTATCATGAAGTTAGGGTTTAACAGTTGGCCCGGTGATTTCCACATTCTGATGGTAATATGTGGAAGTCACTGAGAGACTCAGCTGTCTGTCTGCCTGTCCACGTGTTGTGGCATCTGTCCAGAAACACTGTATCTGACTTTGTATTTGTCTGTAAATACCTGCTGCCGTGTGTGGCTTTGACTTCCTCCCGCTCGTTTGTTTTTCAAGCATCTTTCTGTCCTTGCCGTTATCTATTTCTCTGCTACCCATCTTGTATCCGTCTGTCTTTTCCCATCGTGACTTCTGTCTTCAGCTCTTTATATCTCATCTTCTCCCAAAACAGGGTTGGGTATTTAGAGAGCTTTATTAAGATGTTTTTGATTCTGCTTATCAAATCCAGAATGTAATCAAATATGTATACTCGTGCATTGTCACAATAAAACAGACTTAATATCAAATGAATAAGTCAATAAGGGATGAAGGCTATACAACATGCTGAAACCTTTTCCCTGTAGTTTTATGTAATTATTCACTTGTATTAGTCAACTAAAATACCAGAGGGAAAACAAGGGAAAATTCAACGTATGTATGGTAGGATGGAGTATACTCATTTTTTTAAATAATACATATTTTTGAACTTGCAAGGAATTAGGACACAGTTAAAACTATAATAGATAAAATAATAATCAGAGGGAAATCTGCTTCAATAAACGATGCATTTTGTGTTATTTACATTTTTTGAATTATAAGATTGAATGAAATGTGGCATTGATGAGCAGAGTCTATAAAAACATCTGAACTAAATACCCAGCTCCACTCCTGATAGATATCTTAGTAATCTCAGTGCTCTGTGTTCCTATCAGACAACTGTCATGTTAACAACAGCGGAGGAGACTCGACTAGAATCCAACAGTTGATTGAATGTCCGCGTGAGTACACACGTCCACACCTGCTCTATGCTAAACACACACTCAAAGGAATATGGAGAAACACACACGGAAGCACAGATGCTGCCAGAGAAAGAGCAAAAATAAAGATATATGTTTTTTTAAATACTTGATTTTAAAACTCCGATGCTGATTCTCTTGGTTTTTATTTAACTGTCGAAATTAAAAGATACCTTTGTGTTTTTTTATTGCAAAAGGTACCTGTGATGAGAAATGCAGTCGGAATTGTATAATGAAAGGGACCCGTATGCTTTCTGGGGTTGTCCCTCTCCTGTAGTGTTCTAAAGGTTTGTCTGCAAAGGAGAACATCTCAAAGTTCCCTCAACATACTCCCCTGCCTCCATTGGACTCCTTTGTTTACTTCACAAACATAGTGACATCACTATGTAACACTCACTCTTCTATTGGCTAGCACTCAAACACATTGTACGCGACAGCTAAAGGGTAGGACATCTTTAAGCGATTGACCAATCACAGCAGAGCCGGCCAGCTAACCAATCAGAATTGAATTATGAAACCTGACATTTAGGATTATAGGTTCCTGTTAAAGATAGTGAAAAGGGAAAATGTATTTTCTCCTAATGTTTACCTAATATCTCATCATTTGGAGCACAATGGCCATTTTATTAACAAGCTTTACACATTTATACATTTTAACCCAAACTTTGTGAGAGATGTCAACTCAACATTTTGGCAGAGAAAGTTTTTCGATGGCTTTATGTTTTAAAAATGAATTTTTCCAGAAGTTGTTTTTATCAGTGAACTTCTGCACAATGTTAGTCAAATCTAGAGTTGAAGGAACACTGACATCATAGATGTTGAATTATAAAGTGAAACCTCCAGTAGCTCTAATGAATGTGAATATAATACATTTTTATTCTCAAAGCATAGAATAATTACACTCTAAAGTCTCAAGAGCAGCATCTCTCGGGAAACCATGTCCCCATTATTAAGAATAAACATAATCAAGTGTTCTCTTGAAAACATCTGAAGCTTACTGCAGTTGGTTATTGCGATATTGCCAGAAGTCTGGAGACATTGCTGTATTTGCCTAGAAATCATCTTTTCTTTTTTTATGATTCGAGTGAACCCACCCTTTAAAAAAACAGACTTGTAGAAATTCTTCAATATGTATATTTTGGTCTCATTGAACTTCTTGTCTAACACTCAGTGTTTTCTTTGGCAGTGTTAGTGAAATGTTGTTCTAACAGACTGTTGCTCACTCTGACTGGTTCTCATCTCAATCACTTTTCTTTTCTTCAACAGATATTCACACATTGCATATTTAACAAACCTCCTAGTTTCTCTCGTTGTCTTTCTGTTGCCATCCTTCTCTTTTGGTGCTTTCTTTTTTCATGGTCGCTTCTACCCAGAGAATCAGTAGATCAATTTAAATATGTAGTCTATGGGAATGTTCCATGGCTTGGTATATTTCTGATATCAGTTGAACTGTTATCTCTTCTTTTCTTTGTTTCTGACCAGCAGTTACATTTGTTATCAGCTGTTAGTAACATATGAGTGCTAATGCAACATTACTAGCAGTCCTACATCCTGCAACATGTAGAAATCCTACGTCTGCCTCCATGGGTGGTAGAGATGTTCTAAGTGGATGTTATTATAGGCTGAGATGTGTGTTGACATGTGCTCTCTAATTACTGACGTTGAACTGAAACTGTTTCAAACGGGAAAGAAAGCAGAATTCTCTTCTTTGCAATTAGAAAAACCAACTTATATGCAGACTGGCGGCTTTCTTTGGATCAGGAGGACTTGCATTCAGGAATAACATTTCAGATCATGCTTGTGGGGTTTGTTTATTGTAGTAGCATCTGATGAAAGAATATCTAGGCATCCTTTGTTGAATGATAGTGAAAGGTTAAAGCATCTGTACGTTATTTACTTTAATATGTTGTTATTATCCTGGACTTTTTGCAGTTCTGATGTGGCATTAAAGTACAACCATTTGACATTAAGCATACTTACTTTTTCTTGTAATACCTGGCGACAACAATTCTTTTTTTTGTGATGTATAGGATCAAATAAGTAATTTCAGCACAAAACTATCCAGGCACACATGTTTTGTTGTTGTTGTATTAGCAGGATGTCAAGTCGGTCTATTGGACTTTGGGAGTTTGGGACATATTTAAAAAGATAGAGGTTGTAATGTGTTGTTTCCTTACTCATTGAAATTGGCTTTATTCACTCATTCTTTCTTTTCCTTGTCTTTTCCCTGCAGCAGTCAAACAGCTGAAGGAGGCTGTATGTTCTTCCATCCACAAACTGGCCAACTTTGATGGTAAGAGCTCAAGACCTTTCTATTAACTAACATTAGAGATCAAACACATCCTTAATCTTATGAGACTGATTTCAAATCGATTCCCACATGGATGCTTTTATGATTATTTGATGGCAATGGATATTACCCTTCTGTTTTTTTACTTCGTTCAGTGTATTATCTGCTTTATGGGTGAGGAGATTTCATATCATTGTTTTGTAAAAATGCTCTCTCAGACAACATTTCAATGACTTATGTTGATTGAACAAAAATATATTGAATATTAAACATAACCTTTGAAAAAAATGTGTGTTTGTAGAAGTGATGGATGCCCACCTACAGAACAACCAGTCGGGAGAAGACGACATCCTGGCCAGCCCTGACCGACTCAAAGGTAGCTCACACGCACTCACACACACTCACACACTCATCTTGCATCATTTACAGTTTTTATATACATTTACATATTCTTTAAAAAAGACATTTCTTATTTCTATTCTTCCATACTTTGTAGTATAACGCACATATCTTTACAAGGTTGTTTATTTAAAAAATAAAGGCAATTGTAACGTAAGCCAATTTCCCCCCCAGGGATATTTATGATTTATTGATTGATTGATACCATTTTTGGTTTCGATGCAAACATGCTTCTTAAATGATATTTCGATTTTCACATTTGACAACATGAGGCTTGAAACATCCATAACCTCAATATATATTGAAACATATACAAAAAAACGATGTGGTGGATTGAATGGTTTACAGGTTTATGTTGTTAGGTATAAAATAACCCATAGACTTACCAACAATTATATTTCGGTTCCAGTTCTTGTTTATTACTTGTTTTAATTTAACATTTGAGAATATCCATAGGTATCTGGATTTACTAGCGACAGTGGCAGTGACTTGTTTTTTTGTGAAGTCACAAAGGGTAGAATCTGCTGACATGGAGACATCCTACTATACTGACCTTTGACCTCTGCCTTAGCTGTTGTAAGAGCTCTGACACTCATCCATACACAATGCTCAGGCTCAGCAGCAGCTGTGTGTGGGGGCTTTGAATCACAACACAAATTCTCTGGATATTCATATCATTTTTATGTTTTTCTATTCTTCTGGAGCTCTGATTACAAAAATGCCTCCCAAATCCTGTAATGTTAACCGCCACAACTACATGTCTGAACCCTTCCCAAACCTTACTCCATTCTAAACTTGATTAAGAACAAGTCTAAACTGTCCTTTGATAATGTGAGGAATAACCACATTTTCTCACTGCCAGTGTCTAAAAATCAGATTGAATACAGAAAAATAGATGAACATGAGCGTTTAACAGTGAATATACTAAAGCTGTGAAGCTAAGCTGCTGCTTTGTTGTTTCTGTTCCACCACCTGAACCCCGCAGCGCCTCACACACTGTAATCCAGTCCTTTCACTACACACACAAGGACACAGGTTCACATACGTGTGGTGACCTATTTTTCAATGCCTATCTATTTTGGTATTTTCTTCTTTTTGTATCTTTTGCTGGTTTTATACTGTTTTTCTACCAATGTTGTCCCTTCCTGGTTAACCTTTGTTTGTGTGTGTCCGTGTGTCCGCAGAGAACCAGACTGATGGCAAAGAGTCCGACATGTCAGACACTCTGAGTCCCAGCAAAGACCGCAGCAGTGACGACACGTCAGGTCAGTAAAACACAACAAATGTAACGTAAATCGAATTGAAGTCTCATCTGTGTGACTCCCTCTGTGTTCATTTATCATACTTTTCTTTCATTAGTTTTCATTTCAAGGTTTCTTTGCTGTAAAACTATCTTTTTTAAATGAATAATGTTGAATTTAGTCTGTCATGACTTCAACCTGGAATAATCATCACCTTTTTTTAAATGATGTTCTTGATAAATTCAGTAAGTAACTAATTAGAACCAGGCAGAACTTGCTGAAAATAAAATCCTGTTAAATGTTTTTTATTTAAAAAGAAATATGTCAATAAAGTCCCAAAAAAAGTATTTTTACCTTGTTTTTTATTCAAGCACTTAGTAAAGCTTGTTCATTCCTTTTTTTTTTTATTAAGTCCTCATTAGAAACAAATCATAACGAAAATCACCATGTGTGTTTCAGACGGCAACATGGACGACCAGGAGCTGATTGAACCTCAGAACAGAGGAGCGCTGCTCAAAGGTAACCATGGCAGCTCATCTCTGCTTTGTAGTCCTGCTCTGTGCTGCAACAACAAACAATGAACACCAAACTACATCACATTATCTAGTAATACACCAAACTCTCCATAAGGTAGAGCTGTTCAGTAGTGTTGATGCCTGCAGGTCCTTAAATAATGTTTTTATTTTTCACTGTGTTGTTTTATAGTATTTGATATGGCCATCACCCGTGCTTAGAGATTATTCTAAATGAAGACGATTTTTAAAAAAAGTTGATCTCCTCTGTGTTTTTGTAGCTGAGTTGAATCGGGCCGGGCTAGAGCCTGGAGACACAGAGCAGGTCATCCACCACCTCCACAGAGAGCTTCTGGACGCCCAGGAACTAGCCAACACCGGCAAGCAGAGATGTCTGGAGCTACAAGGTAATTCATGACGGTATATAAATATCCCACTACAATAAACACTTAAATAGTAGGTAGCAGTGTTCACCCAAGCTCTTATTAGGATTAGGATCCTCAAGTTCTTAGGCGCTTTCACACCAAGTACTTTTCCCAGGAATAGTTCCCGGAACTTTTATTTGCTGGAACTATCTAGTAAATCGCGTTCACACCGGAATAATCCCTGAGGGAGGGTTAGGCAAATGAAGCCGCTGACGTCACTTGTTCTTCTTCTGCTTTGGGTTTACTGGCAGGCAGCAAACTTCACGGCGTATACTGCCACCCGAAGTCCCCGGTCGGAAGTCCCCGGAGTTGGGGAAGGCTTCAGTAGAAGCTGCTGGGACTCCCAGCAGCTTCTACTGAAGCCTTCCGAGTAAATCACCAGAACGCCGACACCTCCTCATCTCCACCGCTCCCATGTTTTCTTTTGTGTTGCCATAAGTTAGTCTCTCTGCGTTTCTGCGCTGGGCTAATGCTAATGCGAGCAAATAAAATGGCGGCTTCACAGACAGTTTTACGGTGCGTGGTTTGCAATTCGCCCAGCCAATCAGAAATTGGAACCTTTTTCTCCCCAGGAAAGTGCCGGAAAGTTCTAGTTCCAGATATTTTTGGTGTGAACGTAAAATCCCAGGAACTATCGGAACTATTCATTACCAGAATGTTTACGTATTATATTACTCTCATTGTGCATCACGTGGCAACATAACGGTTTCATATATATTGCTAAATGAAATCTAAGCAATTCAAATTATTTAATGAGACTTCCACTGGACCCCACAACTCACGTTATAATTAAAGCAATCTACAAACATTAATACATAGAAATTCAATGACACGTTATACTCTCTGTGTCTGTCTGTAGCTCTGCTGGAGGAGGAGACGAGGAGTAACTCTAGGCAGACTGAAGAGTCCACCAAACAGATCCAGTACCTGCAGAGTGAGTGTACACACACACACACACACACACACACACACACACACACACACACACACTGTCTATTAGGTACTATACACCTGTGTGTATTTGTTTGTGTTTTAGCTCAGCTCGGGAAGCTGCAGGCCGACATGGAGGGGCTGAGGGAGCAGAGGGAGAGCACCATCTGCACCACCCGAGAGGAGCTCTACTGCGCCCAGGAGGAGGTACCACTCCACCTCATAGCCCTCTGTCACCTTTGTGACTTCCCTCTGATTCCTCCTCTCATTGTCCCTCTACTCGCTCTGACACTTCTCTGACTCTTGATGATTCCTGCCAGTCTTTTCTTACTCAATCATCTGACTTCCTGTTGCTCCATGTCAATCCCTTTTCCCTGACACCACCGACTCCTTGACTCCCTTTCCTCTCCTACTGACTCTATCTAACTTCTAATGGAACCTCCCATCTCCTTCTTTGATTGATGGCCAGCCCTTCTGTCTACCATCTGATTCCTCATATCTCCTTTTTCACGCTTTTCTTACTTCTCTTTTGACACAAAAAAGAAACCCTCTCTTATTCAGTATGAGACACTATTTCTATTCTATTTTATTTGTATTACTTGCACTATTTTAACTATTTTGTCTGTTTTATTATGTTGCACATTTGGAGGAGCCCGTGACCTAAGATGTTCATTGACATCTACCCTGTAGCTATGTACAAATGACAATAAAAGCCTTGAATCTTGAATGAGACCTTCTGTCCATCAGTTTACTGTATATTTCTCTCAGATGACATAACTGACCGATTCGTGTTTCTGCCCTCAGATTATTGTCCTCCGGCACGCCATGGAGACGGCGACGACGGAGCGTGAGCGGGAGATCAGCGCCCTGCAGGCCGACCTGGGCAGCGTGCGCTCTGAGCTGGAGCGCTGGAGGGACACGGCCGGGAGGTACGAGGGGGAGATCAGCCGGCTGCAGGAGGCCTTCACACAGCAGCAGCAGCAGCAGAGCTCCGCCACACAGCTGCAGGGTGAGCACACAGCCCCGTGCCTACACTAACACTGTCATTAAAACACACAGATGGTGACTGTTCTCTTCTTCTTCCTCAGCGGAATGTGTTACGTTGAAGCAGCAGTGTGTGTGTTTGCAGCAGGACTGTGACGGCCTGAAAGGGGAACGGAAAGCTCTTACAGACAAACTGCACCGCCTGGAGACTGAGCTGAGCAGGTATAAAGACACACACACACACACACACACACACACACACACACACACACACACACTTGTGACACTTACAGTCTGCAATACAGGTAAATGACTCGTGGATTAGAATTCTACTCTTTTGCCATGCTTTTATTTTGAGTTTGATTCCACTCCAAAGGCTGACACATATTAGTATCAACGATCTACATCTTAACTGAATGACTTTTCAACCAGACACTGATGTTTAATCAGTTTATCAGAAACATCTTCATACATGTACAGGTTAAAAACATGGGAAATAAAACGTTGTCCTTCATCTACAAAAATATCTTCACTGTTGATGATGCTGCAGAACAGACCATTAGGGATATTATAAATAGCATCACACTGGAAAGTGTGTTGAAAGAAATTCTAACACTCCACTGATACGAATATGAACCCCCAAACATCATAAGAACATGGTTCTTAACCCAATCAACCACAAATACAAGCAGCATTACTTTAATTATTTACTTTAATTATTTTAACACACTTTTATGTTGGATGTTAGTGCTTTTAAATAAACGTTAACAATTCAACCTAAACATTTTAAAAGGTTGTTGCAGCCAAAATTAACTGGTCAAATTATGAAGGAAATGTTATTGCTCATATAAACCCATGACAGAAATGTAAGAATTTGTAAACATTATAGGTATTGCTGTA